AAGGCTGATTTACACGGTACGATTTGTCGCGCGCGACTTGTAGTATACGATTTTCCTACTACAAGTCGTAGGATTTTAAGCAGTGGTTCAAAATCCTACTACAAGTCGTAGGTTGCGTACGACTGTTGTAGACAAGTCGCGCACGACAAATCGTACCGTGTAAATCAGCCTTATGACTTTAGATATTACGCGCGCTCTGATTGGCTGAAAACTGTTCCGTGAAATCGCGTATCCAGACCGCGGGTCCGTCTTTTTCCGTATCCGGACCGGAAATTGCTAATTTGATGGTTGTGCGGTAAGTTGGACCGAGGGAATCAAGACAACTTTGTTTATCAGATTTGAGACTTTCTTTGCAATAAAAAAAATTCAAACAAAATCCAATTCTAATGATCTGAAAGATAGGTAGTTCAATTTCAACTACTCCTGCCTTTTTGTCCGCGCTCCGTCTTAGCACTTGACTTTCCCGCTCTTTCCCGAGTTGACCGTACAGTTGTTTTCAATTSCCAACGGCATCAATCCAGCTTAGAAATGCTCGATAAGTATTCACCACAATTTAAAGATAGCCCAAAAAGGATCATATTGGAAGAAAAACTCAATGAAGTTGTAAAAGCTCAAAAGAAGCTAGAACATAAGTCCATAAACTACTCAAAACAAAAGTGAAAAGGGATTCAAACCCGTGTCTTGGCAAGAATGAAATCTTCCTCTTATAAAGTCTACTTTCCTCGATTCAATGAATCCTCGGTTACTGGTAAAAGAAAGCAAATTGTAATTCTATTTTGAGGGACATCCACAAATCTACACCGGCGGCCGCGACGATAGAAGAATCAGACAGTGGAAATTTGTGAGGAAGCTAATAATGTATTTGAGTATGAAAATAAACTGAATCTATCAAACAAGGAGCCAAAATCCCTGTCGTTTTAGCCGACAATTACTGAAAATATGATGATTTCTGTGTCATTTTACTCATATCGTTAGATATCGTGAGAAAAGCAGTGCTATTACATAGTGTTGTACTTTGAGTAATTCTTCTACATAATCTACGAAGTAAAAGTCATATAATAAATGAGTTATTAACCTGGCTTGCTCGATCTCGCTGCGCTCGATCCGTACTGTCAAGACCTCGGTCTGATATTTTCCCGTACAGACCTCGCGTTCGGTTAATAACCTCTTTAAAATATCTATTCATACACAATGACACAGAGGGGAAAGGGAATGTCGATTCATTCCTTTCAGTCATTCCTAGCTAACCTTGACAGAGTCCACAACTGTAGCGACAATTCTGATTCACATATGTTTTCCAGCTCTCTTTGCTGCAAATCCAAGCATTCGTTCTACAAAACGATGGCCATACGTCTCTACAAACTAAAATGAAAAATTGAAGTAACGATATTTGGAATGCACATTTTATAAATTTATCCTTAACATTTGTATTAACATCCTGTATTTCAAATAATGTCATATAATTACTGCACGAAATTCCATTGATACGTATTCTTTGATTCACACGGCAAATCAATCATCATTACACGCAAAAAGATAAACGTGTTATTGGCTCTTGGCATTTCAGGCCCTACCAAAAGCATATCTATTTCACCTCAGTACGAAAAAGAAAAAAAACAATGGATGTGAACGTACACTGAAATAAATATAAAATCTTACCGATGTCGCTGCTACGTTCAACTGGTGTTACGCGGTTTTCTCCTTGTCCTGCAAGTAGATATCAATGAAACCTTATCACTTTTATTCATCTCCATGATATATAGAGTTGTTTAGGTAACGTTTTTAAATTGCCCTATTTCATTATGACGTCACAGTATGTTTACATCGGATAACGATGCTCAAAAACAGCGGAAATTTGGACCCATTTATGTTGTCGACTAAAGTAGAACTTCAGTGAATCGTGTTTTGATATATATCATGTATAAATGGTTGCTCATGTACATTTTATTTGATATGCAGTCACTCTGATCCCTTCTGGCGACCATAATCCTTAGGGCGATTCCACATGAGACATTGAAAAAAAGCTAATTTCGAAATTCAGTGGATCTTTTTAATTCCTTTTGCATTAGAAACCTCAAGACCTGAATTGTTTAAATTTGAAAATATATTGCAGTTACTTGGCTTACCCGTCTTATGATCAGACATGAAAGTTAACCTTTTGTTACCGCTAGTTCCCATCATATATCTATCATACACAATGACACAGAGGGAAAGGAAAAGTTAATTAATTCCTTTCGGTCATTCCTAGCTAACCTTGGCATAGTCCACAACTGTAGCGACAATTCTGATTCACATATGCTTTCCAGCTCTCTTTGCTGCAAATCCAAGCATTCGTTCTACAAAACGATGGCCATACGTCTCTACAAACTAAAATAAAAAACAATGGAAGTACGTTATTTGGAATGCACATTATACAAATTTATCCTTAACATTTGCCAGAGCAAATGTCTTTACAGACTAAGATTTAAAAATTTTGAACGCACATTTATCCTTTAAAATTTGCCAAATCAATATTGAATTTCAAAAACGTTATAGTTGCTGCAAAAAGGATATTTGTACGTACAGTATTTGTTGAATCCAACGGGAAAGCATTTTAATCATTACCAGAAGTACATAACCAGAAGTGTCCATCTCCCCAATAATATCGCTACCATCAGATGTCCCGATAATCTATTTTTAGACAACCAATCACAATGCGCGCACATATTACACGGCACCTGATTGGTCCTTGTTGATCTACTTCAAGAGCGGACAAGAAAGGAAAATTATGTAGTCGATGGAGGCGAACGAATTGAAGTTCGCATTTACGAGAATTTTACTCCTTTTGCTGAACAATCATTTTTGAATTCTATAGAAAACATACTTTACTATATGAGCAGTGTAGCAAAAGTATTTCAAGAGCAATATGGTCTGCAAAAACTAGGGAAAAGTTCAGACAAAGATGAAGAAAAATGTAAAACAGCGTAAAAAAAGTAGTGTAAAGTAGCTTCCTCACAGTCAAATAGAGCTGTACTTAAACAAAGCCAAAGGTAAAGTAATTTTCGACTTTTAACGTGAGATGGAAAAGCTGTAAATTTTCAGGTAGGCGGGGTTTGTTTTGAAATTCAAGTTAGCTATCGATATTTCTTTGATGACTTTTCTTGTTTGTGGCTTTTCACAACTTGTTTATTGTTTGGTTTTCGTTAATACCCTCTGTACCTATTCGCTAGTTTTCACTTTTTCTCAAAGAACAATCATTTTTCAACTCCTTACACAGTAAAGAGTTCACAATATAATATGAACTTAAGTAATTTGAACATCATTTCGCAAAAAAAAGAGTGTTTGATCGACTTTTTGTGACATTTTTCGCACTCGGGCATCGTTTTGTATTACTTTTCCCCTTTTTATAAAGCTATTTAAAATCCTAAAATATCTACAATTCTATGTATAGTCTAGGGGCTTTTTAATTGTATTAGAACAGATTTCTTATTAAAACGAGAACAATTCTCGCCACAAAAATTACAATTTTGCAGACATTTCTTCGCACTCCTTTTGTCTGCATCTTTTTCATCTTTGTCTGAACTTTTCCCTTGTTTTCGTAGACCATATTGCTCTTGAAATACTTTTGCTACATTGATCTTATAGTAAAGTACGTTGTCTATCAAATTACTTAACCTTTGGTTTTGTTGAAGTCCGACTCTATTTGACTGTAAGAAAGATACTTTAGACTATTTTTTTCGCACGCTATTTTACATTTTTCTTCATCTTTGTCTGAACTTTTCCCTTGTTTTCGCAGACCATATTGCTCTTGAAATACTTTTGCTACATTCATCATATAGTAAAGTATGTTTTCTATAGAATTCAAAAATGATTGTTCAGCAAAAGGTGTAAAATTCTCGTAAATGCGAACTTCAATTCGTTCGCCTCCATCGACTACATAATTTTCCTTTCTTGTCGCTCTTGAAGTAGATTAACAAGGACCAATCAGGTGCCGTGTAATACGTGCGCGCGTTGTGATTGGTTGTCTAAAAATAGATTATCGGGACATCTGATGGTGGCGATATTATAGTCTCCTTCACGGATACCTGCGCCATCTTGAAAGGTAGCCGTGCCTTTGCACCGAAGCGAGACGACCGTTGAGCGTGCAATGATAGATACCTGTGAATAATTGTCTATAGGTGTGAAAGAAGGTTTCTATCATTGCACGCTCAACGGTTGTCTCGCTTCGATGACAAGGCACGGCTACCTTTCAAGATGGCGCAGGTAACCGTGAAGGAGACTATTGGGGAGATGGACACTTCTGGTTATGTACTTCTGTCATTACACACAAAAACATAAAATTCTTATTGCCTCATTTCAAGTAAGCTTTAAGCCCCGTCTACACGAGCAATTTTTATGTGACAACTACATGTGGCAATTTTTATTTGTCCGTGTGGACAGGCAGCAAATAATTGTTGAAGATTCGCGCCAAGTGTGATTTTGCACAGCGGAGATGCCAATAAACAAAGCAAAGTTGKTTGRTTTTAGCTCTTACAACAACAATAATACCATTCTCTCTGTCGATCCGGTCGTTCTGCTTACTATCGGCGTGGCCATCTTGGTTGGTGTGCAAAATGTTGAGACTGGGATTTAGTGTAACGTCAAAATAATTGCCACATTTTATGWGACGCTTGTCCACACGGGCAATTTTCGATATGTGACAATTTTTAKTTGTCACATAAAAACTAGCATGCCAGCTTTCCAGCAACTACAGTTGTCACATAAAAATTGGYYAATTTTGCTCATCTACAYGGGCAATTAAAAGTTGTCACATAAAAATTGCCACATAAAAATTGCTCGTGTAGACGGAGCTTTATGCTTGAAAATTACCGACTGAACATGTCACACGCGAGTGCTTGAATACCCGAAAGTTTGACAAACTAAAAACTTTCACACAATTATTAATTTTAAATATGCTCCCTGCTTAAAAGTGCTCAAATAAATACAAACAAAAGCTAATTCAACTGGTTTATTTATCAAAAAGATCATTTTATCAAGCTGACATCAAGATACCAAGACTACACTTTCTCAACAAATCGGCACTAGTGAGGTCTCGAAATGCCGAAAAAATAGAGGAATATTGATATAATAATCTTCAAATCTCAACATCTTCCAGTCATTTTATAAGATCTCTACTTGTCAGTAGAATGTCTCTCAGCCAATCAGGAATCACGCTAACGATACAGCTAAAGTACGGTATCACGCGAGCACCGTATTTATCCAATCAACGAACACTCGAGGATAAAATCCGTATCTCCGCGCGCCCATGTAATATCCTCTATTTATTATTGGCTACATTTGCCACATATTGTGGGAATTTTCAAATTGGAGAAATTTTCCCTATTGCATATACTATCTTGTGATATTAGGCACTTGATAAATTAGTAAAACTAAAAAAAATTTTTCTTGCCCTACATTTTACATTTTAGGCACCGATATAAACATTACCTGGACATGACTGTTTCCTGCAATCTCTATATTCTTTAGCTTTTCCCAGTTCTCTACAATCTATTCCTCCTTGTCTGGGTCTTGGATTAGTGCAATAGCGGGAACGTTGTTGTGTTCCTCCGCCGCAGGTCCTGCTGCATCGAGACCAGGAGGACCATGGTGTATACCCGCCGTTAACTAGGAGACAAATTAAGATTCTATGTTACGGAACTCAGAACATTCTGATATATATACTTCAGAACACACCGTGTCCATTGTGCGTTAAACGTAAAGAATTTTGACGTAGAATATATTTCTAACAGCACCATGATTGATTTGATAGCTTCTGCCTTTAATCTTTTTCCATTATTTATTCTGAATACATGTATTTCTTTCATGATGCAGAGAACCTTTAGGATTCGGATTGCATCCC